AGGGAAAAGGGCGGCCTACAAATGCTAATAAACCTAAACCTAAACCTAAACCTATTAGTTAGTAAAGACTATAAGAATGGTCAACTTGTAGAGAGTCATATTCCATGAGAACGGGGTGAAATCCAGCAGGTTCTGACAGGTTCTGAAGAACCACTAGCGGAAATTTTGAGTAGTTCAGAGAACCAGCAAATGCCACCTCTTGCTGGCCCAAAGTGGGGTGGGAATGGAGATTTTGCAGTATCCTTCTCCTGCGACACTCAGCAAGCCACGCCCACCAAGCTACACCATGCCCACCAAGCCATGCCTACAGAACGGGTAGTAAAAAAATTTGAATTTCACCACTGCATGAAAATAATATGTATGGAAATCTAATAGCAGAGGAATCTAAAACATTAGTGGAGCTAAAACATTTCATAAAGACATTAATTCTGTTTCTCTCCTTTCTATTCTCTTTTCACTTCAGTTATACGTCATCTCTTTTCTCACTTCTACATGTAACAGAATACTGTTCAAAGAAGCAGTAGGTGATAAATCTAAATTAAAGGTTTCCTTCAGTTGTTTTTGATATTACACTGAGGGCTGTAAAAAACCAGCAGTCCACATGTTTCATACTCCAGATTAGAGTGATTTTTGTAGAAGGAAATAACATAGTTCAATAATAAAAGCAGCAGTTTGTTTGGAAAAAAAGGTATCCACATATCTGTGATGAAGAACAATTGGAAGATAGTCTCCTTGATATACTTATACTATCTTATAATTCAGAGTATTCTAGAAGGAAGCAGTGTTTTTCTACAGTGTTTCAAGGGCAAACAAAATTTGATTTGCCAGTATTAGTGTTTTGACTTTGTTTAGCAAACCACTTTTCCATTATATTATGGTTGCATCATGATATTAAGCAAATGTAGTTTTTTTTCTCCCTATTTTTTGAAATGCATATAAAATAAATACCTCTTTAAAATTTGTTTTCCTCAGGCCCAGTTGGATTGCCTGGTGAAAATGGATTAGCTGGTGAAAAGGGTAATCAAGGATATGATGGTACTTATGGTCCACCTGGAGAAACAGGAACACGAGGTTTTTATTTTGTTGCAATCTTTTTCATATTATCACGAAATTTGCTAATTTGGGATTGTGATATTCTGCCAAATTATTTTCATCGCTGACAAATGCTCAAATTTAATTTAGTTGCTTAACCTTTAATAAGACTATTTTAAAAGAATGGCTACTAGGCATTACCCTTGATAATTTTTAACCACATAATTTCTATAATGGACATTACTTGAATTGATTGTTATTGTTGTTGGATGCTGGATGCAAAATTGTTTCAAATATTTTGTCTATTTTTCATTATTTAGCATATAGAATAGGATAGATTTTTATTGGCCAAGTGTGATTGGAAAAGACAAAGGAATTTGTCTTTGGTCCATATGCTCTCAGTGTACATAAAGAAAAATAAAACAGAATTTATCAAGAATCATAAGATACAACACTTAGTGATAGTCATAGGTTACTAATAAGCAATCCAATTATACTAGGAAACAAATAAAACAATATAAATTTTAAAGATATATGCAACATGGTTATAGTCATAAGTGGGAAGAGACAGGAACTAGGAAGGAAGAGAAGAATAATAGTAAAACGGTCTTAATAGTTAAAACGATAATGTTGTGGGAATTAGATGTTTAGCAGAGTGATGGCATTTGGGGGAAAAAACTGTCCTTGTGTCTAGTTGTTCTGGTGTGCAATGCCCTAGAGTGTCATTTTGAGGGTAGAAGTTGAAACAATTTATATCCAGCATGTGAAGGGTCTGTAGTTATTTTCACAACCCTCTTTTTGTAAATAGAGCTGTAAAACTATGGTAAAGATGATAAGGAACATAAAAATGGGATTTCATTTATTCTTAATGCTGTACTTTTAAAACATACAGTATTTCAAATACTTCTCGGAACAAGAATTTGAACCAGTTATATAATTATTAACTTGGAACTACTTTGCAGCAATGTGGAAATCACAATATGTATTAGCCATGTTGGAACTATTTAAGCAAGTAACTCCTTTGTTAAATAAATTTATCAAGAAATAAAGAAGATTATTGAACGTTCATAGAAAAAAATGGGTCTTCGGAATATGAATTTTCAGTATAACATTCAGCCATATTTCTTATTACCATTGTAATATAATGCCTTTTAAATTTCTTAACTTACTTTTGAAATAAAAAACATACATTATCATCATATAGGTTCACCAGGGCAACAAATTCCTGGCCCTAAAGGACTTCCTGGATCTAAAGGTAAAATTATACTGCATATCTTATTTATTTAATTTATTTATTTTTATCCCATTTTTATTATTTTTACAAATAACTCAAGATGGTGAATATAGTCAACATACCTTCCTCTCCTATTTTCCTCACAATACAGTCCTCTGATGCTGTAAATTCATAATACAGAATCTTAAAAATCTTCCACACTATATATAAGAGCCATGGTGGCACAATGGTTAGATTGCAGTATTGCAGGAAAACTCTGCTCACAGTCAGAAATTTGATTCTGGCAGGGCTCAAGGTTGACTCAGCCTTCCATCCTTCTGAGGTCGGTAAAATGAGGACCCAAATTGTTGGGGGCAATATGCTGATATTTATATTATTTAAAATGTTATTTTTTTTAATAATACATATTGCCCACAGCAAGATATGAGTCAGGATAGAGTTGAATCTAAATGCTTCAGGATTCCTGGATTGTCTACTCTTGGCTGATAGGTCATCACATCATCTGATTAGAAATGTAGTAACATTAACAGTGATTGTTACAAAGAGAGTAACTTCTAATTCATAACATATGATCCAAACTGGGTTATATATCCAACATTATAATTCCTGTAAGTGGAAAGTAGATTGTATTTCCCAAAAGTATATTCATGGAAAATATGTGGAAAGGAACACATCTGTGGAGAGACCAGTAATGATGGGTTATATTTCTTGACATCACTAGCTTAGGATTTTTAGAATTTTTGGAACAAATCACACTACCCTTACAAATATAATGATCAATAATATGTTCTTAACTTGATTAAAATATTAATTCCCAAGGTATCAAAGGAGATATGGGAGTAGCTGGTTTTCCAGGACCACAAGGCTTTAAAGGTGTCATGGGAGACCAAGGACCTGGTGGACCTCCTGGCCTACCTGGACCACCAGGACCTCCAGGAAAACCAGGGAAAATACTTAGCTCCAAAGGAAATAGAGGTCCTCCTGGCCCAGATGGAAATCCAGGTAAGAAGCCATTATTATACAGCAACTTTAACATTTGCTTTGCTGCACCTTATCATTACTACAAAATAGATGCAGTTATTCATGCCTGAGCAGATTCATCATGAATTTTTTTCTACTTTCATTTTAGGTGTTTTCCCCTCTTCATTTAGCTGTTCTGCTTTACAGTTAAGGAGCCAAGCAGCTGTCTTCTGTAGGGAAGACATTTTGTAGCATATGTACTAATTGTCCAATAATCTCTGCATTTAATATAGAAACATAAGAATAGCCTTGATGGATCAGACCAAAGCACATCATGTTCACCTTTCCTTTCTGCATATTGGCAGAGATGCATATTCCCCCCCCCCCCAATTTTCTTTCCTGCAAATGTATTTGGAGGCAAGATACATCCATCCTGTCTTCAAGACTACTAGCACTCCATAAACTTGTCTGCCATTAACTTAAGACTATTAGTGCTTGACAGACGTGTCCTCCATTAACTTATCCAATCCCCTGATAAAGCCTTTCAAGATAGAGAGAGGAATTTATGAGAGTTGTGGGCTATTGTTTTGTCTGTGGCATTCTAAGGACTTATATGTACCTCCCCTGAGGTACATACAATATTATTAATATTCCACAAGATTGTATTAGATTAAAAGCCTTTAGCCTCTGGTGTGTTAAGTGTGCATGTGTGGGTGTTCTTCCTGACAGCTGCCTGTGGAAGTGGACCTTACTACTAACTTTGGAGATTTAAATTAAAAAGTATCATACATACATTGTAATTTATTAAGGAGATATAAGAGTTAGAATGTATATGCATATACGGTAATTTAACATAATTCTTGGTTAATATACTACTCCCAAATGCATGTACTTTCCCCATGAAATATAGGTGTTCGTGGTAGCCCAGGACTTGCTGGAGTCCCAGGCTACAGCATAAAAGGAAACAAAGGTGTCCGAGGAACAGCTGGAACTCCAGGCCTGCCAGGAATGAAAGGTGATGATGGCCCACCTGGTATGCCAGTAAGTTAAATAAATATCCTTTATTAGTCATTCATTGATTTTATATTTTAGATTTGCAACAATGCAAAATTGTAGATGAGGGAAGCTATCACATTTTGCAAAAATGATTAAACTTGAACAATCAGTTTTTTTTAAAAACAGGAATTTTATTCTGCTTCATTTTTTTAGCTATCAATGACGAATTAGGGGGTGTATTAGTGGGTGTCACTAGGCTGGTGGTGGTGGTGCTGTTTCACTGAAAGATAGAATAAGCTGTTTCATTTCTGTTATAATTAATAACTAGCAGCTGTTTAAGGCATGGGAGCACAGAAGCTCAGAGCAAATAGAAAAAGAATGTTCATCCCACGTTCATTGAACTATGAGTGTTTAGGATATGGGTGATTTTTCTTCTGTTGAGGCCCTCATTCTTCTGAGAATATCATTTAGAAGACTGTATGTCCAATAATAAAGAATGTAGCTATGCATGTATTTTGTTTTTAGTAAAGATAATGGGTTCCCAAACCATTAAAAATTGTTAATAATACAGGATCTATACAATAAGGTGCTTATTTCAAAATTAGAGCTGGATTAAATAACTAATGGCAAAGAATTGGTTTCAGTGCTACTTTTACTTTTAGTGAGACAATATAAATATAAGGCCAGCAATTATGATGACTGAGTTTATATTCTCCAATTGGTAATGCTTCTGTTTCCTTAAGAATGTGTTTTTTTAAACTGATGTGCATTCTCTCTCTACTCTATTTACAAAATCTATTGAAGACAGGTTTAAACTGATAAATATTATTTTACCCTGATTTACAGGGAATTGAGGGTGTTCCTGGTTATCAGGGCCTTGATGGTGAACTTGGCTTTCCAGGATTACCAGGAATAAAAGGTATTTTCCTATTTTATCTAATTCTAGAATGTCATATTATGTCACTCATATATCACAAATCATGATTGAAATATAAATTGGATATTGCAGATACAGAACCTCTTCTGGACTAATTGTTTGAGTTGTCTATTTATTTTTAGATCTTAATCACAACAAAGACCATATCCAGGATGATCTATTTATAGAGGCTTGGTTTAATGCAACTCTGGAGCTGTGATTTCTCGCAAATATTTTACAAATTGACTCTAAGATATAGAGAGCAGCTTGTCTGTTTCCTTGCCATTTTTTCCCTGAGTGAAAGTCTCAAAAATGAACAAGAAAGCAAGATAAACAGAAACCACCTCATTTTTGTCACTGCCTACAATGATGTGATGATGGTGTGAACATGTATTGTTCTTGTTATCTCTGAAATCAAACGTTTTGCACAACTTATAAAGTAGGAAGTAGCAGGCAAAAAGCCTTAAATTTAAACTTGGGATTCTAAACCTAGAAAGAGACCCACATAAATTACAAAAAAAACCCAACCCCATCAAAATTTATTTGACTCTAGGAAAGAAAAAAGAGGCATACTTCAAAAAAGAGTCAAAACAGGTTGTTCATTCCTGCTAGTTGCCATGGAGATTCTCAGCCAGTGATCTCTTTTGACAGTGTATTCAATGACTTGGATTCAGCTAGGAAAATTCCAGTGTAAAATCGACCCATTTCTGTCCTGGATGAAGTCCAAAGATTCTTTCTCTGTGTCTTGTTCTTGTTAGCTTATTTCCTTGACAAGGCTGGCCATTAAATATAAAGATTCAAAACAAGTATTTCATAGCTCCTTGGCTTGAAGATCTTCACCTATGTTTATATATTCGAGACATATTAGGCAAAAGCATGCGATAATTGGCCAACGTAGATATTGGTGCAGACCAGTATTTGTACTGAATGCATATTTCTTTTATGATAGATCCTACTATATTACCAAAACCAAATAACATCAACCTCTCTCTCCAAAACTGATAAAATGATGTAGAATAGTAAATTGGGACATGCATTCCCATAGTTATGTGAGCTTTATAGAATTCACAAGTATTATTTGGCATCATAATCATATAATTCCTGTCTAATAATAGGATCTTCCTTTTAGGAGAAAAGGGCAATCAGGGACCATCTGGACCACCTGGAATAGCAGGGCCTCGAGGGCCAACAGGACTACCTGGTAGCAAATATATTTGATCTGTTTTACTTAATTGAATTGGATTTTTAATATTATTTGCTTGTAATAAATAATTGTAATTGTAAACGATGGTAATGCATCTATAATTGTAATTGATTGTATCTTCATTACTAGGCCAGCCTGGACCAGTTGAGAAAGGAGTTTCCTTCCCAGGAAGCCCAGGACCTGCTGGACCTCCAGGAAACCCAGGAATGTCAGGAGATCCTGGTCCCCGTGGGCCACCTGGGCTCCCAGGTACATATTTCCTTTCCTCTATTTTAATGTTTTGCAACCTTGGAAACTTAAGGATGTGAGGACCTCGACATTCTGGGAGTTTTTCAACATCTTCAAGATGCCAAAATTGAAAAACACTGTTCTAATTTGAATTAGTGGCGATTATTGCCCCAGTGTTACTTGGAGCTTTTGGCTAGGATGCCTTTCTGTCATTTCAGGTGTTAGGGAACTCAGGAGATATGCTGGAAGAACTCAGAGAGAAAACACCTGTGTTTGAAGGTGTTTCTGGGTAAAATACAGAGGAATAGTTATTACTGGGTGCTATTCAGGGCTTGTCTTGCAATAAGTTTGCATCAAATCTTCTCCAGAATGATCCCTTCCTTTTAGGTATGTTTTGAACGTATGTAAACATTTTTCTTCTATCCATCAATCCAGGACCTCCTGGTACAATGGGCCAGTCAGGCCGTCATGGTGCTCCAGGTAGAACTGGACCACCAGGACCCAAAGGAGAAAAGGGATTTCAAGGGCAAAAAGGTACTACAATAAGGAGTGGTGAATTTATTATAAGAAGATGGAATGGAATGTTTGGATTTTGTCTTGTACCTGGCAATAATCATGGAAATATTGTGTATATTTGACACAGAGTTTGTTGGTGGACAGACTCTCAAATATTTCTAATTATTATTTTTAAAATTAATTTGTGCATAGGTTTACCTGGCTTGCTTGGATCTCCTGGTACAAAGGGACTTCCTGGATTCCCAGGAAGCTGCATAACTAGTCCAGTGAAAAGAGGCTTCATTTTTTCCCGGCACAGTCAGTCAACAAACATTCCTACATGTCCATCTGGGACAACTCACATCTATAGTGGCTACTCTCTTCTTTTTGTTCAAGGAAATGAACAAGCACACGGACAAGACCTCGGTACTTTTATACTTCATTTTATTTTTTTCTTAATAAGATATCACATAAAGTTTGCTATGCAAAAGCAAGCATTTAATGTCCTGGTTAAAATAACATACCCAACAGTGTAATCCTAAATATGGGTCTTAATTGGTGAATTCCCAGAGAATTGTGACTACATCTGCATCTTAGGGATGAATCTTCCATATGCAGCACTTTCAGGGTATAGAAGACAGTGTATATATGAAATGTCCAAATCAAATTACCAGATTTATTTCTAGTAATTTCATCTCTTATAGAGATGAAAGTTATTCTTAACCAAAACTCTCAGAGTTTTGGTTAAGAATAACTACCAGCATAAGCAATAGCACTTAGACTTATAAATCATTTCATAGTGATTTACAGCTCTAAAAAGTTTACAGAGCATATTGTCCCCAACAATCTGGGTCCTCATTTTACCAACCTCGGCAGGTTGAAAGGCTGAGAGAACCTAGACAGCAATCTTAAGCATTACTCTAATTTGTTTATGTACTATTTTAGAACTCTATGAGCTGATTGTTTCAAAATCTCTGAGAAAACACCAAGATGAGAAAAAAAACCACAGTCACATTAACAAATGTATATGTTTTCTAGCTATTTTATTTTAATGCATGTCTTCCAATTGTAAATTAAACATTGATTTGCCCAGAGCAAGGATAATTCCAAAGGAATTAACCCCAGAATGTTTTCTCCTCCCATAGCTTTTGAAATTTCCCTGTTAAAAACCTTCGCTCTTCCTTTGTTCTCTCAGATTATTTCCCCCCCAGAATTGTCTCTATTGTAGCATTTCCCTACTTTGTATGAATTTCATCTGTACTAATATTATAAACATCAGAGCATACCTATAACACAATAGGTTATATTGAATATTGAACTCACCAGAACTTCTCTTCTGAATCATCCAGGTACAACTGGTAGCTGTCTTTCAAGATTTACTACAATGCCCTTTTTATTATGTAATACCCAAGCAGTATGCAGATTTGCTTCCCGCAATGATTACTCCTACTGGTTGTCAACAGAAACACCAATGCCTGAAGATATGGCACCAATTTCTGGAAGAGCTTTAGAGTCCTATATTAGCAGGTAATTTTTCCTACCTGATTTTCCCTTCTAATTTCTATATCGATATTAATTTGATACATATTATATAAGAAACACTAAGCAGATAAACTACAGGTTTCCAAAAGCAAAATCAAGATGCGTGTGATTTTCTAAAAAGGTGAATAAAAAATGAATGATTCCATTTCTCTGTGTGTTCTGCCCAGCTACCTGCCTTATCATCACTTTTCTTCCAAATTCATTTGCCTGCTGTAGTCTTGTTTCTCCCTTTTCTTCATGGTATGTTTGTCTCTCACTTTGTAGATGCGTTGTCTGCGAAGGTCCAGCAATGATGATAGCAGTCCACAGTCAAAAAACTTTAGTTCCACCCTGTCCTCAAGGCTGGCAATCTCTTTGGGAAGGGTTTTCCTTTGTTATGGTAGGAAGAAAAATAAATAAATAAAAGTACTGGCTTTTTTTTTGTTTGAAATAAATTGAAATAAATTCATTAGACAAGAGATTTTTAAAAAAACAAGTTCTGAAAGTGTTCAATCAAAGTGATATATTTCATTTTATTAAGCTTTATTATTGAAGTGCTGTGAGGGAAAAGGTGCAATGCTAATTAATTAGATTCTTGAAATCTATCTCACATGTAAGCTGTATCTACACAAACAATTTATCCCCCCCTCGTCTCCTGTCCCCGCAATTTTAATTCTGTGTCAGTTTTGCCATTCTATGTCTCTTATGAAATGAGCTACAGCTCATGCCTTCTAATAAAATGTGTTACTTGGAAAAGTTGCCACCAGACTCCTAATAGAGTGGTTGGAAACTTTACCAAAAGCAGGTGCAGCAGTACTTTGCTAGTTCTTTAAACCAGGCTGTCAATTGCAGTGTTGTGGTTTTTACAAGGGATATCTGGTTTTAAGTGTTGTGCCTGACCCTCGGCCCTTCTATGGATCATCAGTACTCTCCATGCCCGTCTGTCCCGCACTGCCTCGAGACCAGAAATTCTTGAGGAATCTGTAGTTTTTCTCTTGGTAAGAATCTGATAAGGAAAGGAAAGGAGTCCCTGCAGATTTTACTTTGCTAGGTGCTCATTTCCATTGAGCCATTGCTTCCGAAGACATCTTCATGGTCATGTGGACAGCATGGTGCTGCAGAGCGCTGCAAACCCAAAGGTGAAAAAGTTCCCAAAGAAAAAAAGAATGCATTATTAAAAATATCTGAAATTTCTGTTGTTCTATGATGCTACAAATCCTACCAAGGTTTTACATTTAGGCAAGAAAACCAAAACGCACAGGTGCAGTATATGTGGTACCTTGCTCAATAGTAGTAACTGTGAGAGGGATCTTGGAATCCTAATGGACAACTATTTAAATATGAGCTAGCAGTGTGCAGCAGCTGCCAAAAAAGCAAACACAGTTCTAATCTGCATAAACAGAGGGATAGAATCAAGATCACGTGAAGTGTTAATACTACTTTATAATGATTTGGTAAGGCCACCTTGAAATACTGCATTCAGTTTTGGTCGCCAAGATGTAAAAAAGATGTGGAGACTCTAGAAGGAGTGCAGAGAAGAGCAACAAAAATGATTAGGGAACCAGAAGCTAAAACATATGAGGAACAGTTGCAGGAACTGGGTATGTCTAGTTTAATTAAAAGGACTAGGGGAGATATGATAGCAGTATTCCAATATCTCAGGGATTGCCACAAAGAAGAGAGAATCAAAGTATTATCCAAAGCACCTGAGGATAGAACAAGAAGCAATGGGCGGAAACTAATTAAGGAGAGAAGTAACTTAGAACTGAGGAGAAATTTCCTGATAGTTAGAACAATTAATCAGTGGAACAACTTGCCTCCAGAAGTTATGAATGCTCCAACAGTCGAAGTTTTTAAGAAGATGTTGGATAGCCATTTGTCTGAAGTGGTGTAGGGTTTCCTGCCGAGGCAGGAGGTTGAACTAGAAGACCTCCAAGGTCCCTTCCAACTGTTATTCTATTCTATTCTACCAATAGTAGTGAAAACTACCAAATTGCTATGTAAAAATAACCCGTATGAATTATTTGAGGTCTTAATATTCTGAGATACAATTATTATTTGAAGTCTAAAACTGGTATTCCTTATCCCCAGATTACTTAACAAAACAGATTTTTATGAAAGTCATTTATCATTACAGTATACTGGTGCAGGTTCCGAAGCTTCTGGACAAGCTTTGGCATCTCCAGGGTCATGTTTAGAAAAATTTCGTGCCCTTCCATTCATTGAATGTCATGGCCGAGGAACATGTAATTACTACTCAAATTCCTACAGTTTCTGGTTGGCTACACTAAATTCAAGAAGAATGTTCAGGTATTTTTATTCACATTACTTTCTCTGTGATGCAACTTAAAATGAATCGGTTCATTCTTTCATTATATTGTAATATGCTAGTACTTGGCCAATTCATAAATAAAACTGACATTTCTTTGTTTTGATACTTACCTGCCATTATATTTAGCAAGTCCCTCTGTGAGGGAGATGGGTGGTTTCAAAATTTGATAGATAAATACATTGTTTTATGACAACTGTTTTACTGTCGGGGCTGCCTAATGCTTTTGATTCAAAGACAAAAAGATGCTTTGGACGACATTGTGTGGAATTCCTGCCATAAACTATTTAATCAGCAATAACGGGGAAAAATCATTATTTTCAAGAACTACAGAGAAATTCTACTTGAGGGCATGTGGTTTATATGCTATACAGCAGCTCTCTTCAAATGCAAAGTACTTCATAGTCCCAATTATTATTTTTACTTTTTGTAGTTTGATTTAAATACAGGTGACTGACACTGATGCAGCATTTATTAGTTTAATGTTTAAGGTAGGGGAATTCTATTTTACTTAAAATATATCACTCTTATTTATATTTAAAGGAAACCAGTGCCACAGACTCTAAAAGCTGGAAATATGGAAAAAATAATTAGTCGCTGTCAAGTCTGCATGAGGAAACCCAACTGAGCAGAACTGTCATCTGAAAATGAAATTCCAATTTTGTTGCCCACAGGAAAAAAGCCTGAAACCAAACCAAATGCTTTTATGAACTTTTAATAATATGAATTACAACCGTACAATATTTGTACCAAAAATTAGAAAATCAGTGTTGTGCAATAATGAAAAGTGCAATGTTTTTATTGTTTTATTTTGCTAAAATAAACAAAAATATCATCTTAAAAGAAAGTATTGGAATGTATTTTTTTTTGCACTTATTTGTGTCTCGCCTTTATTATTTTTATCAATAATTCAAGGGAGCAAAACATACTTAATACTTTTTCCTCCTCTTATTTTTCCCACAACATAACCCTGTAAGGTGAGTTGGGCTGAGAGAATGACTGGCCCAAAATCACCCAGTTGTCTTTCATAGCTATGATATGATTAAATAACTCCTGGTTTCTAACCTGATGCCTTCACTATTAGACCAGTGTTTCTCAACCTTGGCGACTTTAAGTCCTGTGGACTTCAACTCCTAGAATCCCCCAGCCGGCACAGCTGGCTGGGGAATTCTGGCAGTTGAAGTCCACAGGACTTAAAGTCGCCAAGGTTGAGAAACACTGCATTAGACCAACATATTTAATGTATTACAAGATTGCCAGTTTCTAAACACTAGTATTAATGGAGCCTTATGTATTATAAACCATGGCAACATCCAATTTTTAAATGAAAAAGCTATAGTTCCCAATTGTGATCTTGTGCTTTTCCAACTACTAAATGGAGTCAATAGCTATCATAGGATAATGTATTATTCAAATCAAATATTATGTAAACTGACATTTTTGGCACTACATTAAAGGATTTTTTTTTTAAAAAAAATGAATAAAACCTCTTTGAATGAAGCTTCTAAACTGCTACCTTCGTTATTCACTCTTCCTTTGGCTAAAAAGTGGGAAATTGCAGCATTTCACTACAGCGTAATGCCATATTTTGTTATTATTTGGAAAGGAATTTCCAGTATAAGAACATGTTGATTATTTAAATACAATTTGCAACTACAACTTTGTTCCAATTTCCTGCCAAATATTGAATTCTTAACATTTTGACAGAGGCAGCAGTTACAGGGAGTAAGAGCTCTCCTTCACTGGAAGATGAAAGCAATTGCTCCCTTGCATTTATTGTCTTATGCCAAATCAGTCCATTTGAAACCTGAACTATTCAGTATAATGCAAAAACAAAAGAAATCAATTAATTTTTAATACGCTTAGTGTAATGTGGAAACATACCACTTGGTTTCTTTCAATGCAACTGCAGTCATTGCCAATGTTGCTCTTCATTTGGCCACTAGTCTCCTGCTGTACTGAATAATACATATACCAGTAAGCCTTATTATATTTAGTGAACTTAAATACCAGCTCCTAGTAATATGTGTCCTAGTGGACAAACCATTTAAATATGAGCCAGCAGTGTACAGCAGCTGCCAAAAATCCAACACAGTTCTAGGCTGCATAAACAGAGGGATAGAATCAAGATCACGTGAAATGTTAATATTTATAATACCTTAATAAGGCCACACTTGGAATACTGCATTCAGTTTTGGTTGCCACAATGTAAAAAAGATGTGGACACTCTAGAGTCTCCCACCAGTCTCCTACTGTACTAAATAATACATATACCAGTAAGCCTTATTATATTTAGTGAACTTAAATACCAGCTCCTAATAATATGAGCTCAGGAATGTAGCTTCATTAATTAATTGGTGGTTCTGGGTTAAATCAGAATAAATTAAAAATGCTTTAGTCTCACTAAATTCAGTTATGTTAAACAGAACAATGTACTGTCCTCAACTTATGACCACAATTGAGCCCAAAATTTCTGTTGTTAGGTGAGACATTTGCTAAATGAGTGTTGCCCATTTTACGACCTTTTTTTGCCATAGTTGTTAAGTGAATTGCCGCAATAGTTAAGTTAGCAACATGCTAACTTTGCTTGTCAAAAGATTGCAAAAGATGTTCACATGACTTTGAGACACAGCAATGGTCATAACTATGAACCAGTTGCCCAGCATCTGAATTTTGATCACGTGATCATGAGGATGTTACAAAGGTTGTAACTCTGAAAAAATGGTCATACATCACTTTTTTCTGTGACGTTGTAACTTTGAACAGTCACTAAATGAATTGTTGTGAAGTCGAGGACTACCTGTATTCTTAAAAGATTTCAGTTGGACAAAAAAATGGTCCAGTTCTGTCACCAGATGTTACCTGTATGGCCTAATAATAGCTAGAGAAGATCTTCATCCTCTTCAGAATCTACACTCTTTTCCCTCAAGGTACCTATCTTATCTGTTTCTACTAAGGATTAATGTCCTATTCATTTCTCCAAAATCAGAGAAAAGATCTTTCCCTGACTTTGTGCAGCTCATAGTCAGCAAGCCTCCTTATAACATGAACATTTAAAAAGGTTTTTTATAATCTCTTTGTCTACCAATGAAGGCATCCCCCATTCTTCATTTCAAGGAGGCTTTAAAACAACTTCCATATATGTCAATGGAAGCTTTTTACAGCCTCACTGCAAGAGAAGGAGGCAGTTTTTAAATCTTTCTCCCTCCCTCTCCCTCTCCCAGATGCAATATTCCAGGTTCCTCTTGAAAAATCACCTCCCAGTAAGGATTTACAATGTCTGTAAATATAAAAGAGGCTATTTTAAAGTCTCATTGCAGCAACTCTCTTGTAAAAAAAATGTTCCACATATAGCAATAAATACAATGAAAATGAGAAAAGGGAAAGATTGAGGGAATTGTGTATGGGCGGTGCTGAAAATGTTATTGAGAGATACATTGTCACAGCAGGATTGTGTGACGAATACTGTTAAATAAATATTAATAATGAATCTACAAGCCTGTTTTATGGTATCTTTGCCATTGCAAAATCTTAAGTCAAATATATGTGTTTCAATTGGGTTGATAAGTCAAGAATGATCTCCATGAACTTGAAAAAAATAATTTTATATAAAGGATTCACCTTTAACTGCAATATTATGCATATATTTTTTTTAAAAAAAACTGTTTTCAGTTAAACTGGATCCGTAATGCCTATTTATAAAATATCAGTTGTAAACTGTCTTTATAGGCAAAAGAGATTCCTGTACACAACTTGTGGAAATATTTATCTGTATGCTGAAATTCATTGTAATATTCAACTGAACTCAATAAATATACTGAGGTAGTACATGTATGCAGAATAACAGTATAACAGAGTTGGAAGGGATCTAGACTAGGTCTTCTAGTCCAACCCTCTGTAGTAAGATAACAAAAATAACCCAGAAGGAAAACCAAACTGTATATGGAGTGCTGCAGACCCGGGAAAGATAGAGCTGTGTCTCATCCTTCCCGTTCTTTCTTTCTTCTAAAAAAACTCATAACTTCCAGGCAGCTGTCTTCATGAAACTTTCTTTTAGTGTCGGTGGTGACTCCCGGCTGGGAATGGACGAAAACCTTTGCCTTCCAACACTTCTAACCATTTCAAACAAACAGTTGTCCAATCGCTTCTTAAAAACCTCCAGTGTTTGGAGCACACACAACCTCTTGAGGCAAATCATTCCACTGATGAACTGTTCTAAGGAAATTTTTCCTTAGTTCTAGGTTGATTCACTCCTTGATTAGTTTCCATCCGTTGCTTCTTGTCCTGACTTTAGATGGAGAATACGTTGCCCTCCCCCCCAATCTTCTTTGTGGCAGATCCTTAGATATTGGAAAAACCGCAGCCATGCTGGTCTCTTTTGAAAAGCATCTCCTATTTTTCTTCTTAATTGGAATTGGGCTAGACTTTTAGTCTTTTTCAAATCTTTCTTTAGTGTCGTTTAGGAACTAATATAATTGTATTAGCGTACATTAAAACATAACGAGCTAGATTAGGATACAATACCATAATTCAAAGGTCTTCAAACTTGGCAACTTTAAGACAGTGGACGTCAACTCCCAGAATTCTCCAGCCAGCTCAACTTGTGGACTTCAGAGTTGAAGTCCACAAATCTTAAAATTGCCAAGTTTGGGGATCCTTGCCATAATTAATGTATCAGATAAATGTTCAGTTGGCTAAATCTGTAGGCGACATAAAACCAGAACAATTTTTAAAGAAACCCTGATTTTCTAGATCTTTATCATAATCAGATTTCCATACTGATATTTAAAACCTTTTTTTTTAACCAAAAAAATGCTGAATCCAAAATAAAATCCCAAAAATTAACGAAGTCACGCTGTCTAGCCATCGCCCACCGTCGGCAAAAAGGAAGAAAACCTTCGGCTTTCTGCAAAGCGAACGGGAACCCAGCTACGACCATAGTAAAGATGGCCGCAACACTTTCTAATTCCTGCTGAAGGTCCGCTTCCGCCCTTTCTCGATCACGAGATATATCCCGGCTGCCGGTTACGGCAATGCATTTGGGACAATTTAGGTCATTTCCCTCTCTCTCTCTTTTGTTTTTGTTTCTCTGAGTTCCGCGCTGTGCTCCGCCACTAACGGCCCTCTGACGGAGGAACGGAGCCTGAGGCGGCTGGAGTGGATAACTGGGACCAAAGCTTCCGCCTCCCTGCTGGCCTCAGGGTGAGAAATAAAGGGAGAGTTGGTTTGGGGCCTTCTCTCTCCGAATTAGCAGTAGGGCAAAACTGGGAAGTTCGTGTAGGAATCCTTGGTAGGTTCCTTCATTGTATTCAGAGGTTCTCACGTACCGTTTTCCTTGCCGCACAAAAGGCTCGGCCCGACGTCCTTTTGCTCCCTTGCTTCAACAGCTTTGCCCGCTGTTGCTTCCCTCCTTTCCCCCTCAAAGCGTAAGACTTCGCTATCTTCTGTCAAGGTTAACGCCGTCTCTTTCTCCATTGATTTCGTCTGCTTCTCTCCCGCCCTTCCCCCTTTTTTTGCGGGTTTGCTGATTTTTTTTATTTTACTTATTTTATTCACACGTAGTGCAACCCGTTTCGGGGCCCCTTTTAAAAGAATTTGAGAAATTGGAACAGGTTAAGAGCTCAGGGGGCTAAAAGAAACTAACCCTCAGAGCGATTGAAGCCATTGGGAATCAAGCGGGCGGGGCTTGACAATTCTTTAAATTCCTAAAAGAATGCAGGTTGGAGAAAAACCTGTTCTTTTTCATTCCAGAAAACACTTACAGTTTAAGTTCAAGGAACCTGGAAGTCAGATTCTGGTTAACGGAAACTTTCTTACAGTAAGAACAACAGTTTATTAGTGGAACCAATTCACAAGAGAGGCAAAGGGTGTCATTTTATTATAGGTATGCCAGAAGGGACAGAAGAGCCATCTGGCTGGGATGCTTTAATTGGATTCTTGCACTAGACAGAGGATTGGATTTAATGACCTAAATGGCCTTTCCAGCCCTGTGATGCTATAATTCATTTAGCTTTCTTAGTACTGCTTTGACTGATGTATATATATATAACCTATATATATATAGGCAGAATGCAACTGAACGCCAGGTGCTGACCTGTGCCAAAGATTGTTACTCTCCTACCCAGCTTGGAAGTTCCTGAATTGTTATTAACCAGGGTGAAAAACAAGGGCCTTAAATAAAATGGATTTACCATTCAGTCATTAACTGCACAACAGAGTTCTGAGATACCTCAAGGAGTAGCAAATTTATTGCTGAATACATTTTTCTGAGGCAACGTGTTTCATCAGAAATATCAAATGTAGTTTTGGGAACCACATGCAACAATTGATGGGGTGGGAGGGAAGAAGGAAAGGTGAGATACAGAATTGTCATAAATACTGACTTTCACTTAGATTCTATTCATACAACTATCTCAGCCTATGCTGATTGGAGTTTTAAATATATCCTTACAGCACATTGAAAGGCAGATATTCTAGTGGTTCAATTCTTGTTCTAATAAATGATATTGGATATTAGCAATAGCAACATCTCAGCATAGGTGAATTGTCTTGGCAGGAGTCTTGTTTGGTTATAAAAATCACAATTTTCTACCATTCTCATTGCCCCTTTTGAAATAGACCAAAATAGTTGATTCTCCTAATCCACTAAGTCAGGAATGTCAAACTTACATCGTCACATGGTCGTATCACAACTTTTTCCCCCCTTCGCTAAACCAGGGGTGGATGTGGCCAGTGTGTGATGCATCTTGCCCGCGGGCCAGATGTTTGATATCCCTGCATTAAGTTATATTTCTGATACTAGTTTAGCAAAAATTTGTAATTCAATACTTAGATTCCTCATATTTCCTATTAATTCTACTGCATTTGTAATTAAATAAAATTGAGTGGTGTCCAGTTTTCTTTGTAACTATTATCTGATGGGCTATATCTGGTGGAGATTTTGTGCTATTTTAGCATGTCGACTGCTTCTGTGTTTGCACAACATAATCCAGAAATCTAGTAAAACTTGGCTTTTTCTTGAGTAGCAGTAAATTGAGAATTCAAAAAAGTAGATTGAGAATTTGTTAGAAACCATTACAGGTATGTTTAAATCAGGATCCTTGGTTTATTTCTATAAGAACATACTTAGGCTTATAATTTCATTTATTGGAGAAAGTAACACACCAGGATTGTGTTTGTGTATAATGGTAAACCACGGTTTTTCAGAACCTAGTGACTTGATTCACATAAATTGCTAAACCATGATGTTGGCTTTAAATTTCAAGTTAAAGCAAGAACAAGAAAACATACTTCTATCTCAGTTTAGATATGAAACTAATCCTTTGGTAGCATAGTCCTTAATTTACTTAGCTGCCAAATTTCAATTCCGCAAGAGTCATGAAAACTGGATTTTTGACACATTCTCTTAAACTATTTGAAATTCCTTGATTCAAAAAGTATTGCCCTATGACGCACCATTTTGCCCAGTTAAAGATTATGGGAATGAGATTTTTAGTAGTACGGGTAGTCCTCAACAGTTCATTTAGTGTTTGATCAAACTTACAATAGCACTGAAAAAAGTGACTTATGACTGTTTTTCGTGCTTATGACTGTTGCAGCATCCCCATGGTCACAAGATCAAAATTCAGATACTTGGCAATGACTCATATTTATGACAGTTGAAATGTCTCTGGGTCATGTCCTTTTTGTGACCTGACAATCATAGTCAATGAGGACGCCAGATTCATTTTAACAATTGCGTTACTGCAACTTAACAACTGCAGTGATTTCCTTAACAACTGTGGCAAGAAGGGTCATAAAATGGGGCAAAACTCAATAACTGTCTCACTTAGCAAAATAAATTTGGGGCTCAATTGTGCCATGTGTCAAGGACTACCTGTATATAGATAGATGATTAACTAGTAATGATTAAGCTTGTTATAGTGATCTCAATCCAGATGATGTCACATGTGCTTCATTTTAATGTGATTTGTATAAAGTGACATAATTTATAGAAAAAAACAAACAGCCAACTATATATATTTAATGTATTGTATTCTCTTTGGGGGATTTACCTATCCCATAGGCTTAAATTGTTATATTCTGCATCTTATCTTTGCAGTTGCTAGAATAAAAGTCTAAAACAAGGCAAGTACTAAGCATTTAGTCATAATTAGATACAGATTATTTTTTGTTAAATATGGATAAATTTTTTCAGACTTAGGAGCTGTCTTTAAGTCTTCACTAGCTTTATTGTGAATTGTAATTCCACTCTTCTAAAAATCAGAGTTGAGAATTTAAAAAAGAAATGACTTTTCTGAATCTTTGTAAATTTTTAAATATTTGGAAGTTATTTGGCATATTCCTATCAAATTCATATTATAGAATACATAGATATCATTTAAAATGTCCTTAGTAATATTTTATTTATAATCTGCCTAATACTTCTTTCTGTTCTTCTTTTTCCCGTTACAGCTTGAAAAGCAATTGTCATGCTGTCTTATGTAGAAAAGTTCCACTGTATAATCATATTGTTCTGTAAAATAAACAGTCTTATAGTGTAGTAATATTAACACATTGCAAGCAAACTTCAGAATGAGCAAACGAACAAGGGGTGAAATTCCTTTAGGAAGGTTAGTGAAAGTTGAAGAATTACACTTGTATTTATTCTAGTGAGTAGTTGTAGTATCTTCATGTATTACAATGTGACTGTTTTGCATATATGCTCTTTGGCCAGATATATTTTCTTTCTTTCCAAATTAAAATTATATATACTTTTATCTTTTCTTCTGTAGTAGGATTCAAGAATCCCTAAGATCCCCAGGTGGTTTTCCATTTGGAAAATGAAAAGATTCAGATCTTTCTAAATACAACACATTTTTTTAATCAAATAGTCTTCAAAACATAAGTCTTAAATTCAGAGGTTAGATAACATCCATAAGCTGATATCTAAAATGAACATCCTGTAATTGAAATTTTTGTATTTTCCCAGGTATTTTAAAACATACATGCATTAAATCTTGTTATACATATATGTGTTATATTTTTAAGTGAAATGGTTAAAAATCAGAATCTGAAGTGGTGCAAATTGAGTAGGTGATGTAGTTAATAGTAAATATAATTTTACAGTCAAGTTTTATATAATTGTAATGTTTTAAAAATAGATAACTGTGCAGAAAGTCTAATTTGGAATCTGATTTAGATAGCATGGAATTTCAATATTTTTCATTTCTCTCTAGTCTTCAATGGGTCAAACCTTGTGCTTATTTTCTGCTTGTTGTGTAATCTTTCACTTCCAAGCAGGACTAAGAGCACTGATCAGCAACAATTTAGTGTCTTATCACTCTTAACCTGAAATATTATTTAGATTGTTTGCTTATTTTAAGTAAGCATTATTGATTTGGCTGTATTGATTTTCTCACTGAGTACCCTTTTTTAGTAATATACTTTATTTTCCAAAACACTCTTGTTTCTTTGTAGACAAATGCTGGTTCTAATATGAGAATTGGAAATACTTTTCCAGGTGATTTTCAGAAATTTAAAATCAGTTTTCTATAAACATTTATGTATTCTGCTTCAATTATCATCATCATTTGGATCTTTTTAGAGGAAACATTTGGATTTCATTGCAATTATAAAGATAGCTTCCATATAATTATGTCATCATGTTCTTGACAAGCATAGTATATATATATAATCCAGACTGGATAATGAAATTCAAAATCTCTGCTAAACAGGTCAAAGTTCAGTTTGAATAGGACTAGAAATTATGAAACAGAATTATGAAACAAAAACTCATTTATATTGTTATGATGGTTTTAATATTTAATCTTTGTATGTCACTGCTATAAGATGAATAGTTTAATAAATTATTTAAATAAATAGTTTGATTCTATAGAATTCTGAGCCTGAAGGATATATTCATAACAAATTCATAGTAGTGATTTTTTTTCCCCCCACAAGGAAATCTTTTGTCTGGGCAAATTGGACATTTATAAAAGGCATTTTTTTGTTCTGCTGAAGATTTTTGCTGTAGTTTCTTGAACCACATAATAGTCATGCTCCAAGAAATACTGCAATTCAGCCTGAGCTGCGTCATATAGATTCATAGTCTTTTGCAATATTAATGAGGCACCTTTAGAGACCTCATAAAACATCTAATTTTATTCAAGTCTTTTCTGGTTCAAACCCAGCAGATTTCAGTGGGTTAATCCTGATCTGCTATCTTTCTACAGTGACTTATCACATTTGGATGTAGAGGAGAACTGCTTTGAAGTGGTTCTACTATTTTGACTCCATAATACCATATTTTTTGGAGTATAAGACACACTTTTTTCCCTTCAAAAAAAAAAGCCTGAAAATCTGGGTGCGTTTTATACACTCAATACAGCATTTTGTTTGCCTCCCAAAACCTCATCCCCTTCACCAAAATGGCCGTGTAGAGCCTTTAGGAGGCTTTCAGAATGCTCCTAGGGACTGGGAAGAGCAGAAATGAGCGAAAAACAGGCTATTTTTTGCTCAATTTTGCCCCCCCTCCCCCTGGAGCACTCTACAAGTCTCCCAAAGGCTATTCATACCCTTTTAAAAAAAGGGGGGGGACCAGTTTTCACGAAAAACAGGCCATTTTTGGGAGGTCTGCAGAGTGCATTTTTAAAAAAAATTGCCTCTTCAAAATCTTGGTGCGTCTTATACTCCGAAAAATACGATAGTTTATACACCTGTACAGATCAGTTTATTGCTATGTTGTTTTTCATCTTTATTGAAACAATTGCCTGATTTTGAGATACAGATTCTCTTGTACTTAACACAAGTCTCCTTTCTTAAGTCATCCATTGAAGCCTTTCTTCATATGTTTTTTTCATGCCAAGATTCAGAAAACAGACAAAAGATGGAAACCTTTTTTCTTGTAAATTCCATTCTATTCCTTGCATAGCCCCTACTTTTAATCCTTATCTTAGGTTGTTAATTTTTTCTAGATCTTTTAAATATATATTATTTTTTGCAAAATGTATTTAACTGTACAATAGAGTTTCATAGTGTTATGATATGTCAATAGATAGACTATGTCAATATTTTTGCCACAGTTTATCTGCCGTTAGCGTGCTTAAGATTTGTGATGTTAGTATCTTAATCATGTTTTTAAATTGATTGCTCTACAGCGGCAATTTGCTTCTTAATATTTTATGCTACTATTCTAAAAACAGATGATGTGCAGATTTTCCTATATAACATTGGTATCCCAATGATTAATAGAAAGGGCATCTCTAGCAGAAATTTATATCCAGTGTTAAATCACACAGACTTGACAGTTGAATAAGTTAATAGGCTACAATAAATAAACTTGTATTGTGAAAGAGACTCTGAAGAAAAACTTGTTATCGTATGCAATATAAATTATTGTATGCTATTGTACACTAAAACCATGTTACTGTTGATTTATAATTTGAATTGCTTCATCTTGTGTTAGGATGAGCACAGCAGCATTCCAATCGCCAGCTGCCGAAATGGCAGAAATCAATCGAATTCAGTATGAAATGGAATATACCGAAGGGATCAACCAGAGAATGAGAGTTCCAGAAAAACTCAAGGTAGCACCACCAAATGCTGACCTTGACCAAACGTGTCCTGAAGAAGGGCTTCCAAATGCCAGTGTAACAATGCAGGTGCCAGAGCGGATTGTAGTTGCAGGTATGTGTAGCTATAGATGAGTAGTTCTTAGTCTAATTATCCTTAAGATAGATTTCAGGTCTTTCATGAATTTCAATGGAAAAAGAATCACAACTCTTTTTTTCAAATGTATTATTTGTTTATTTTTTAATACTTCGATCATTGTATTTGAGCATAATTGATTTATTTTGTAATACGGTCGATGTCTTTTCTGCATTTCCATGCAAATCATGACACGATTTCTTTCTTTGTATCTATCTACTTTATATTATACATGGGTATATAATGTATTGTGTATATTATTAAAAATGGTACCTGTAAACAAATATTATGTAGTGATTCCAAAAGCATTTGCTACAATCACTAGATGATCTTATGCTTTGGATCTTTCAGTAAATTTATATTTGAAGTTAAATATAAAGCATCAAGTTTCTGCAGTCCATTGCAGCACAACGAAAAACTTAATGTATTATTGACTTGAAACTTAACTCTTTTTAGGTAATAGTGAAGACATTCCACATTCTAGGCCCCCAGATCTAGATCTTCTACAGTCAACTCCATTCAAGTCTCTGTCGCTGAAAACACCTCCCCGTGTTATTTCACTTAGTGATCGTCCACTAGATTTTCTGGACCTAGAGAGACCTCCTCCTCACACTCCTCAAAATGAAGAGGCTAGTATATTTCTTTTCTTCCTAGCTAATATCACATTTTGCTAATATCATATTTTATTTTAATATTTTATTAAAGCCCAAAACAAAACATTGAAAATGTTCTACATGATAATCCTATTCAGAATACAGTGGGTTCCTGAAATTCAATGACAATTGGACCACAATTTATGTTGCTAACTGATGCAATCATGTAGTGCAATGTCACACAACTGTATTGCTTAGCCCAGCAATCTCTGCAAACCTGTTGTAGTTACTAAGCGAGGATTTTGGGTCATTAAACAAGCAACTACTTGCAACTTCCTGCAAGCTTCCAACAACCAAAGTCAGTGGGGAAATCCACAAGAAGTGGCAAGTCCTAGTAGATTTGCAAGCAGGCTGGTAGGTAGGTAAGTGACTTTTGGTGAGGGAGGGTGCACAAGGTAGTACAAGTAGTGGAGGAAGCAGGGCACTAGTGTAGTGGGTGGATCCTGCTGGATGGGTGAAGTACAAGTGGCTGAGGAAGGTGTGAATTGCCCAGGGAGTTACAGCACAAGCATAGCAAAGTGTGGAGGCTGTGCAGGTGGCTGGCATGGTACAAGCACAGAGGAGCTGGTGGTGGGGGTGTACAAGTGGGGGAGATTTCTCCAAACAATTTGCAACCTTACATGTGAGTTTCCCTATATTGACTTTGGGGGAAGAGAAGGTCACAGATCATGCTCATGTCACATGGAATGGTGAAAACGTCAATGTGAACCAGTTGCCAAGCACCCAGATCATGTAATCATGAGGGTCAGAGGTGGGTTCCTCCTGGTTTGTACCGGTTCGGTGGAACCGGTAGTGAAAATGGCGACTGGGTCTTTGAACCGGTAGGGACGGCATGCTCACCTCGCCCACAAACAGGTTCCCTGGTCACCGCAACATTTTTTTTTTACTTTTTAAAATGTTCTGCGCATGCGTAGACCTATTTATAGGCAACTGTGCACCCAAAATTGCACACGCACCAAACCAGCAGTAATGCCGGCAGAAACCCACCCTGATGAGGGTGCAGGATGACTGTAAGTTTGAGGGACAATTTTAACCACCATTGATTTAGTATCATCATAACTTTCAATGGTCATTGAATATGTGGTTGTTACCTGAAGACCACTTAGAGCAGTGATGTCTAACCTTTTTTGGATCTCATGCCAAAAGCGGGGGGAGCGCAGGGGGCTCGTATGGGCGTGCCCACACCCATAATGCTATGCATGCAACCCCAGCACACATGCATGCACACCCAAGCGCGCATGCACGTGCGACCCCAGCGCAAAACCTCTGGAGGGCAAAAAATGGCCTTAAAAGAAGGCCAAAGTTAGCTGGCTGACAAGGCAACGCCTCGTGTGCCCTAACAAATGGCTCCGTGTGCTTGACGTCACTCATGCCCACGCCCATTCAGTCACATGATCCCCCAAGCCATGTCCACAGGAAAAGGTAGGAATATTTTTGAAATTTCTACCTATCTACTCCCACCCTTCACCAATCACCCCCTTTTTTCATTCTTTAGTGGCACTGCCCTTTCCCTTGTCCCACCTGCCACCTCAAAATTGCACCCCACTGTGAGGCGCGCATCTTACCAGAGTCTGGCAGCTCTGTCATGTCTCTCAACTGTTCTGTGCAGAAAGAAACAGTTTTCTTTATGATAAAGAAAAACTTTGCATGAGTGCGAGGCAATTAACTTCTCGCACTCTTGGGAAGTTTTTCTTTACTGTGCAAGATTTTTCGCAGTACACAACAGCTGAGAGACGCTTGCAGTGGGGTGCAATTTGGGGGTGGCAGGTGGGGCAGGAAATGGGGCAAGGTGGGCCACGAGATGTGCATCTTATTGGAGACTGGCAGCTCCGGATCTTTCAGCTTTTCGGGGTTTTCCTAAAAAAAAAGTCTCTCCAGACAAGTTTGAAAACTTCCGAGGTTGCTTCGGGAGGGGGCAGTTGGGCAGCAATCCCCCTGCTCCCCAGGCGCCTGCAGCCTCGGAGCCTGCAGCCTTGGAGCAACTCCCGGCTCTTGCACAGTAAAGAAAAACTCATGAGTGCGAGGCAATTAACAACTTCTCTGCATTGTAGGTACAGATAGTAGAGTCTTTAGTCTGGCATTATAGGTGAGAAACAATTCAGCTTGAAAGAATTACTATGTACCGGTATCATTCTTGTTTTGGGCCTGACAGGCAGATCATCTTAATCTTCATCTTTACTGGGTTCAATAAATTATAGTTATCTGACATTGCCTTTATTTAATTCAGGATTTAAGTGCTTATGCATGAGTGACAAACATTCAGTTTCTAAGTACAGAGTTGGTAACTGACTGATCAAACTTTTATTTGCCCATAATTTATTTAATGATTTATCTCAATATCCATGCACAAAAGCACTCTGAAGAATTGCTATTGGCTTTATACTATTATAGAAGTTTAGAAGAAAAGAAGCTGATCAAGATTTACTAGGCCTGGAAATAGATAGTACACGAACTAGTAGAAGTATATTTTATTTTTATTTTTTGTTAGAGAATATAATAGCAGAACCTTGAAATCTGATGAGGATTCCTTTTTTCTTCTTTTATATCAAACAGAAGCAGGATGGGGTAATCAAGAGGTTTTTTCCCATCCCTTCCTAAGCTGATGTCCTATAATGGTCATTGGATTTCTTTTTCATTGCTATATCCATATTCCTCAGCATTGGGAATCATTATATGAAATGCTACATGGGATTTCCTGGTTACTTAACTGTTCTAAGTTACAGGAGTAATCAAGCAAGAATAATGGAACAGTGTATCCTAGAACATTTATTCATTTCCAATAAGCTGAACTTCTCTGAATTCTTAGTATTATAAATGAATCTACACACTTAATTGTATATGAATCTGGGTTAGAGTTATTTGTGACTTATGCATTTTCAAAATCATGATTGTTAAAATATAGGAGATCGTTGTATGAAATAAAGATCTTACATTCTAACAGAAAATCCATTATTTAAAAAGTTTACATTAGTCAAAATCTCTTGCCTACTAAATTAAGCTAGTTATTAATGCTATTAATACAGTAAAATACTATCTTTGATTTGTTCCCGGCAGATTCGGACAGTAGGACGGCTGAAAAGAGAACGTTCCATGAGTGAAAATGCAACTCGTCAGAATGGCCAGTTGATGAGAAATGAAGCAGTGTGAGTAGAAAAGGATTATTAATGCATCTGTAAATGAAGCCTAATCTGTGGTTTTTCTTAGTTCTTGATTAGGAAATGCTTTCAAGTGTTTATTTGATCTATTTACAGCCCTTTGATGTTAGCCTTGAAGCTCAAAATTGATCTTACCTGTTTGTAAATGATGCAATGAAAAAGTTAAAGAGCTACACAGCTGCTATTTTTAATTCTTTGGACACCTTGGTGTCCAACATATTTATTGTTTTATTTTTAGATGTTCTAATTACATAAAAAGGAGAACTAGCACCTTTAATCCCACTTCCTCCGAAGGATGTCTATATGGCCCACAAATTTATTTTTAGAAAATAAAAAGTGGATATTGATAGCCTGGTGGCTTATTGAAGAAGCAAGTACTTTCCCAATAAAAACAACAAAAGTGTTAGGGAAGTTATAGACGTCCAGAGGCAGATGGTTGGCAGCAGCCATGCCTGATTTGTATGGTAATTTGTATGTTTTCTGACTGGCTGTGTTTATCATGACAGCCATTTTATGAATATATAAGCAAACCTACCATAGCAACCATTTTAAGAATGTGCCACCAATATGCTGTTAATGTTATAGGTGTTCCCCTGAATAATTTCTTAAAGGTTTTCCATCTTGTTTCTTCCACCTGCAATTGGGGAAAAGGAAGAAGCTAAATGAAGCAACTAACTAAATACATGAAGTATATTTAAAGATGTTATATTCAAAGGATAAACATTCCAGATACATAAATAAAAGATGTGTTAGATCAGCGGCCCCCAACCTTTTGGGCACCAGGGATCAGTTGCAGGTAGAGAGGTTTTTCTGTAGCCTGGAGAGGATATGATTTTGTGTGCTGCCTGCATCCTGCAGATGGGGCTTTGCTTGTTTGCGTGGCCCGGTGGCTGGTATGCCACAGGCCTGTTCCAGTCCACAGACCAGAGGTTGGAACCCCTATGTTAAATGACAACTATTCTAAAACTTTGTCCAGTCAAAAAACCAATTCTAAAGATAAAGAACCATGAGATAATAAAGTAAACATCTTGAGGTTGCCTACCAGCTGATAGTATTTGAACTGAGCAGCTATATCAGTTATCTGATGACATTGGGGTGAGGTTTATTATGTTGCATTGTAAGGATTGGATATTATTTCTAAATTTGTCTTTAGCATCTCATTTGCATATTTGTGTCACTTTTTTGAAAGTAAATGATTCATAACTATATAAATCTTTTTAAATACATCTGGAATAATTGCAAGTGGTTATTATACCTTCTCTTCTTCACATGACATCTTATTATTTCAATTAGATATTTCACATAGGCTGCATTCAAATACCTTAAGTTTTTATTAATGTTTTAATATTTAGTTTTAGATATATAAGCTGTTACCTTTATTGTCCTAATTTATTATCCAGCATTTTTACAAAAATCCATGCTTTTCCTCTGTTAGAAATGCTTATATGTATATATTTGTAGGTGGAACTATTTTGTGCTCTAGTAAAATGACTATCTGCAATTCTAGCATGTTAGTTGTAATAATGAAAAATTCTGTGTTCAAAACTTATCAGCTTAGAAGAATTTTTTAGTTTCATTTTTTTGTCTACCTAATGAATAATATTTTTTATGTTGTCATCATTGCATTTGTCTCATAGTGGTGTGTGTAAGTGCCTTACCTGATCATCTTTTGACCTAGAATGATACTTAAATGCTCCCCCAAAGTAATAATAACTAGATGAAAGAAGTGATGAGCAACCATGATGCCTTTTCTGCTAATTAATTTAAAAAGAACACTTTCCAATAATCAGAACTGTTCTTTGTGATAGCACAATATTGAAACTGACAGGAAAATAAAAATGTCATAGTACCAGTCATCTTTTATAGAGAAAAATGAAATACAAGTATGTTCACTAAAAATTGATTATTCACTGTTTACTGTCAACATTTGTTCAGCTACGTTATCTGAAATGAAGCGTATTGAATTATATTGCACACATACATATACGACAGGCATGTGTGTATGTAATAAAATCAGATGTAAAAATAATTCATCCTGTGGGTAAATTCTAAAACTGTTGGATTTTATTTCTCCCCAATAAATATTATATCCTGATTAGGGAAATTTCTTCCCTAATTTCTATAAATTGTAAGTAGCAGGGATGGAAGAGAGATACTGTTTATATTTTCTTATACAAATAATATGTATCTATATAAGTTTTCAGGGCTATTATTATACTCTATCCCATCTTTTTAATATATAATTAAAAGTAGTGACTTGATGGTTGTAAAATATTCTATCACATGCCTAATATAGGTCAGTTTAGAAAAATGCAATGTGTATAATTTGAATCATATCTTTGATTCATTAGTCCTTGGGTCTCAATGCTTTTGAATTAGGCCATACACGTTAGACTTTATGGCCATAAATTCTTTGCAAATATTACATACATGTGTGTAGAGTCAGACTTATTTCTTCACTATCTTGTACAGCATCTACATATAAAGAAGTTTTATAATGTTAAACTGTTGTCAGCAAATTATGGTAGGCTTCATACAATCATTTGAGAGATATTAGCTACATTAAACTAATGATAAATAAAAATGGAAGCTTTATTGTTAATACAATGTAATGGAAAATTTAAATATAGAATAGTTTTGTGTAGAAAGGCCAGTCTTGGTTTGCATGTTAATAACATTATTATTTTTTTGGAACTTCAAGCTGAAAAATATTACATACATGCTTATATGTTTAATTTTCACAATTATGGGAAATTTGATATCACTTGTTATGTTAATATTAATATAGTCTACTTCTTTGTAAGTGTCTTTATGTAAATGATTCCTAAGTAATCCATATATATATATATATATAT